GATTTTCGGTGGCAGTATGAACGGACCGTCGTTAACGATCCTTTGCGTGCGTCGTAACTTTGCGTTCTCAAGTCCCGCGTGAGTCGACGAACGTCGGGAGCTTTATATAGTAAGTGCCTAGCTTTATATAATCATATACGATTGCTGCAGTATTGTTATTTAATACAGGCCAAGGCAAATATTGCTTTGAAGTGACAAAAAATTCACATCATCGGTCTCATCTCCCTCATCATCATGATCATCACCATCGTCAGAAATATTGTCGCGCATTCTCATTTTTGCCAGTTATCTCTATGAGGTCGAACCACTTGTATCGAATTTGACGTCTACAACGTCGAAGGTCCATTTAGATATGAGGTACTGAGTATACGTTTACGATCCACTCGTGACAGTCTTGTCATGAAGGGTTATCTCTATGGTCGTCTTGTTCGCGTGGTCGTGGTTGTATTGTGATACTTTATCTCTTTGTGATATAGCTATAATATTGTTCATCTTCTAACGCCCGATGATTTGTTATCTTCCCTTCTGATTGTTACTATATATATATATTCAATTAATCCTGTTAAAACCTTTTGTATAGTGAATCGATGGTAATTTTGCCATGACATCTTGTCCTACTTATGAGCGCCTCTCCCTGACGACTGACGAGATGATTGGCTGAGTGGTAAAAGGGAGGTGCGCCGCAATCTACAACCATAATATCGGCGCTGGTTCGAGCGGCACGCTCGACTATGGTTCTGGAGGTGGAACAAGTCTCCGATAAGGACACAGTGGCTCGTGTGCAATATAAAGACCCAGTATATCGTTCGAGACGAGTGGGGGATACCCTATGTACTGGTACAGACAGCCAGTGGCGGTGCCAGCGGGAGGGGAGGCAGCAGGGCTTTAAGGCTCCCCAACGGACAAGTCAAGGCCCATCCCCTGTCGGAGATCGTCGGGCAGTCGGACTAAAAAATATATGAAAATAGGCCTACGCCAAGCCAACACAGTGTAATCATAATCAGAGTCATTTCTGGACATCCAGAGGTTCCTATTCTTCAAAAAATCTCATTTGGGAGGGGGACACCCTCTCAAACCCTTCCACCAGCTCGGGCCTACGAGCCCAAGTCTCCCTGTCGGACAGCTCAGTCCCCCACCCCAGAAAATATATTCTAGAGCCGCCACTGCACAGCCCCCTGTGGTGAACAATGCGAGTTAATAGTACCGGTTTAGCGGGTAGTACAAAGGGACCCTTAATGCCAAAGTCTGAATGTGCTACTAGTCCATATCATTGAGCATCTTGTTTAATGGATACCAGCGCTAGATGGAAACCTGTATACATTATTATTATTTAATATTAGGCCTTTTGATTTGCCCTTAGGCCTACGTGTTATATTATGCTATAGTAGGTGTAATACTATACTGTCAGTGGCGTAGCTAGAGGTTCAGGCGCCCGGGGAAAAAGTAGAAAATTGCGCTCCCCCTTCCCCCTTCTACCCCCCCCCCCCATTATAATTATAATATTTTGAAATAAATTGATATTGGTTGCACTGACTTTAAACATATCCGTACCATACATCCATATCATACACTGTCTAAATAACATTATTTAAACCCGAACTATTATTATTCTAGCTCTCATATGTTCTTTCTAACCAGGGGTGGCGCCAGGATTTCCCCGAGGAGGGTACGAGTAAGATTTCCTTGACGAGAGCAAGGAAGAGTGAGCCTTCCGAAAGTGGTCTAGGAGGCCGAAAATTTTTGACAATTTATGGGTATCAAAGGCTTATTTAATCGATTTTAGAGTCTACTAATATGTACAAAATACATATATTTTTTTTCTCCCCAACGAATTATGGTTTTTCTCCCCGACTGGGGGGGGGGGGGCGCAGCTATCCCCGAAGAGGGGCCTGGGGCCATCTCTGTTTCTTACCACTGAAACTGCATTACAATGTTCGGAACTTTGTATACAACTTTACCATTATATCCTTGTAAGGCTGTTGTAATTATCGCATACAGCTTAGTATTCTTATTCTCTCAATTTATCTTAAAGTATAGAGTCTTGAAAGTTGCTGAATTTTTAACATTATTTAAACCCACAACTGAATTTTGTGTGCTTTTGCATCAGCAAATAAGTTAGCAATGTTGTCTGCTTCATCACGCTCAATACTAAGTAGTGCCAAAGCAGATAGTCTCGCTTTTCCCATCGTGGCTCTGAGATATGGCAGGATGAGCTTTAGTCATGAAGTCATTACAGAATAGGATAAAAAAAAAACAAGAGAAACGGTCAAAATTGACTGAAAAGAAACCACAATCTATAAATTTGCCAATAAAAACAACTACATTCAGATTCTTATTAACTGGAAAATATTCATGCCCGACGACATGACGACATGTTTTTCTAAAAGTGCTTATTTTTTACTCTCATTCTCCAATTTCAGCGCCCCCCACCAAACCTGGCGCCTGGGGCACGTGTCCCCACCCCTTGACCCCTAGCTACGCCACTGCATACTGTAATACGTTCCACGTACACCAACCAGTTTTTATGTTTTAATCAGATTTTTGTAACAATGCTAAATCCAAATAATCATAAACTCACCAAGGCCAACGGCAGAATAAAAACCCCACCACAAACAGTGCAACTTGAATGAATGATTTTTACTAATATTCTCGTACTATGGGCCTAGGCCTATATTACATAACGACCATTATCGTAATGACCGATCGATATCGAGTAAGTTATATAATCCATAATTATTTTGCTTATTGTATTTGTTGTCAGAATATGGTGGGGGGGGGGTTGCAGTCTCTTTGTTTAATTGTAAAAAAAATATGAATTTTAAACGGGTAATCCGTATGCCACTTCAAAATGACCAAGAAGCGATCAAATAATACGGTACTGTATGACTATCTGTACCCATAGGGCACGTGCCTCGGCAGATTTCTTTGTCACGTGATCAGATTCAACAGCTAATGATTGCCGTCGTTCTGTTATGAATTCACTCCAGGTTTTGAATTGAAAAACATGCGTTCTTCACGTAGCATTCCAATTGATTGTTTGGACGTGCACCACTCGGCGCTTTCGTCTGATTAGCAACTCACGTTTCATGTTTGTAACCCACAGTACAGTACTTGGGATGTTAGATACCGTGTTATTTTCTCGGTCACTCCAAGAAGCTATGATGATGATTTTGCGAAAGACTAGGGAGCTTTAGACTCGACTTCCAGACTGCAGCATACGACAATATATTACGTGTTTTACATGTAAATATTCTATGTAGCTGATCCCAATCCAAACAAACAGATAGACCAGAAGATGTTTTGAAAGATTTGTCGAAATTCTCCAAATGTTTTAAAAGCCTTTTCCTATGAAAGAAATTGCGCTGTCGCACACGTTTGGCCATATGCAAAGCCCTGAGCAGACTCTCAAATTTTATTTGACAAAAACATCACATCATGGCCGTATATAGGTACATCATGACTATATAATAGGCATAAGACGGTTTTTATTTGTCGAAGACAATTCGATAGTATGGACAGAGCTGTAGAGGATGGCGCTGCCGCTGCACGAATGACACGAGGGTTAGTCCTCGATAACAATGGTGGCAAGGATAGGAGACAACCTTGTACGAAACCGGAAGGTTTATAAATATAGAAACATAAACACACAGTTCTACTGTTGTGCCACTATTGGAACATTCGAGCTAAAGTCATTCTGACCTGAATCTGAACCCCGTACTTTTGTTATCATTAAACGTAATTATCGTTTTATACTTGATGCCATCACTTCATAATACACTATAATCGATGGATGCCTTTATAGAACAAATCTGCGTCTAACAATGTAACACGCGACAATAAATAAAGGAATCAGGTAGGCTTAAAGAAAGGTGTGTGACGGCGTATCAACACGGCATGGCAACAATCACATGCCTATACCACAATACAAAGTTGGATGATTAATCAAAGAAACAACAAATAAAAGAACAATAACAAACATATTCACAATATTGTTGCAAAAAAAGCCAGCGTAGTGCTAGAATTCAGGTCGGTTGCGTGACACTAAATCGAGCGAAGGCATCACAGCTACGCCGCCTGCACACGATGTTGTAGCCTCAGGCGCTGTTTTAAGTGGCACTAGCGATCAGATTTAAAATCCAGTAGAATTTGGCACAATAAGAACATGCACAAAGCTACATTCTTATACAGATACATACATACATACATACATACATACATACATATATACATATATACATATATGTATATATATATAGGCCTATATATATATACAGTATATATTTACATATTTATATACATGCTATATAAATACATACACAGGCCTACATACGTTATGTATATATAGGCCTATTATATATATATATATATATATAAATCATATATATATATATATATATATATATA